AAAAGAAGGTACACCTGTTGTTACACAACTGTATCAATACTTACAGGGGAAATTGTTCTTCTGTTAGCAGGAATGTTCTAACTTTACATGAAAAGGCTGTTCCCACCTCGCTCTGGGACTTGTTTCTGAAACAAACATTATCCCCGGGACTTTAGAATTATTGTTTATCTTGGCTTGAGCTGGCAAAGAGAGTCTGCCCCCGACATCACACCAGATACGGTGATTTCTGCCTTGCCTCACTGCTGGAGTATTTCCAGCCCTTCTTAAAACAAGCCTGGGGGCAGGTTCAGGGGGATCTACTCCTTGGCTGCCCAAGGACACCAGAGGACCCTGGGGGTTCCCACACTTACCCATATTTACTACCATGAGACACTGCTGCACTTTGGGTGATTCATGAAAAAAAAAAAAAAAAAAACAGGAGCAACAGTGTTTCAGAACTCAAAGTGTGTTGGGCTGGGCTTCCAAGCGGTGTGAAAGGGACTTTTTGGGGGAGTAGCTGCAGGAGGCTGGAGGTCTGAAGGCCAGTGAGTGAGCACAGTGGATGAAGGTCACATGCCTAGAAGCCACTGATGGCAGGGTGAGGGCAAAAGCTGGTCCCATGGAGGCTGAGGGGTCTCAGGCTATTAGTAGTCAAGCAGAGAATGACAGGGAATGGGAGTTTTGTGGGGGGGGGTCTCCAGGAAGGGTATGACTAACCAAAGCCACTCTGAAGCTAACTGCCCCACATCTCTCTCAGCCAGTCAATCATCAAGTCCTGCGAATTGATTGTTTGACCCTTCGTCCTTGTATTGAGAAGTGTCCACCATGTGCCAAGCCATTCTGGGTGCTGGCGATACATCAATGAGCACATGCCCTGCTGTCACAGAGCTTATGCCTTAAGTGGAAAAAACAATTGCATAATTGTGTTTTGTGACTGTATTCAGCGTTATGAAGGAAAAGTAATGCTGTAAGTCCTGCAGTTTTTTAAAAAATCAACTTTATTTACCTGAGTTTCCAAAACTCATCTCAGAAACCATCCTCCTCCTCCACTTTTGGTGTATATAGAATTTATTTCTAAAGTGGTTTTAAGTTGATGGCAAAGCTGAGTGGAAAGGAGACTTCCCATCGGCACCCACATGTGCACAGCCTCCCCTACTATCAACATCCTGCACCAATGTGATACTTTTGTTAGAATAGATGAACCAACATTGACACAACATTAACAACCAAAGTCCATAGTTTACATTACAGCCTTTTTTTTTTTTAATGGAACCGTGTGTTACCACTGGGACTTGCAGGTATAGGCAGGAGGGAACCAACAAAGTTTCTCAGAGGAAAGTAGCACACTTAGACTAGTGTTTTCTACACAACCAGTTCACTCATTTCTCCTTGGCTGACACAAGAATGTGTCCGTATCTTCTGAGTTTTATATGGTTTAGATGCTGCAGACACCTCCCTGGCCCAGGCTACTGAAATAACTGATCTAGCAGACACCAGATCCCCTATTCAGCCCTGAATCCAGACCCCTAGTTAATTGAAGAGCATCACTTTCTCCGTGGAATGAGCTTACTCAGGCTTTTTCAGTAACTCCCCAGCAGTGGTTTCCCAGGTAATCATCCATAGAACCCATTTGGTGATAGCCGTTGAATATAGTGGTTAAAAACATAGACTCTGATATCAGTAGCCCAGAAACTACTACATCCTAGCCCTGGGAATCCCAATTTCCTCACCTTTAAAAAGTGGTAGCATGGAGGCCGAGGCAGGAGGATCACTTGAGGCCAGGAATTCAAGACCAGCCTGGGCAACAAAGTAAAATCCCATGTCTACCAAAAAAAAAAAAAAAAAAATTAGCTGGGGTGTTGGTGTGTGCCTATAATCCCAGCTACTCTGAAGGCAGAGGTGGGAGGATTGTTTGAGTCCAGGAGGATGAGATTTCATTGAGCCAGGATCATGCCAGTGCACTCCAGCCTGGACAACAGAGCAAGACCCCAACTCTTTAAAGAAGAAGTGGTAGAGACTACGATGGACTAGAGACAGAACATCCAGTCTAAATGGCACAGCAGTTACTCAGCTCCAGTGGCTGTTGCCAGGTCTCCCCATTGTTAAGGAAAAAACATGATAAACTTGATGTTTATGATAAATATAATTTTGTTTTGCTGTAGCAGCTGTAGTAGACTACAACATATGGCCACAAATTCCTCCCATCTCTATCTGCCCACCCTGTACAATATGACCTTGTTGTTCCCCCATCAGAGATGAATTCTATTCCTCCTCCTCCCAATTCTAGCCTGGCCTTGTGACTTGCATTGGCCTATAAGATGCAGTGGGAGTAGCATCTGCAACACTGGGTCGAGACCTCAAAAAGTTTTGCAACTTTGGCTTTGACCCTCTTGGAATGCTCTGCCCTTGTGTAAAGAGGCCCAGGATAGCCAGAAGGAAGAAAGTTGAGATACCAGCAGAAAGATGTCACATGGGCAGAGAGAAACAAAGTCATCTCAGCTGTTCCAGTCACCCCAGCTGAGGCTTCACACATGGGATTGAGGCTGTCTAGGACCAACTAGCTAAACTGCCAACTGAATGCAACCACATGAGTGTGCCCAGGTGAGACCAGCTGGAGAATCCCAGGCTAAGCCACAGAACTGTGAGGAAAAGTCAATCATTGTGGTTTTAAGCCACTAAGCTTGGTTTGTTACAAGCCATAGATAACAGACAGAAATTATTAAGGCACCTTGCCAATCAAACCAACGCCTCAAGTCACCAGTTAGTGATCTCTCAGGTGTGAACTCCTAGAGGACAGGAGTCATATCTTGTTTATCTTGGTATCCTGAGTGCCTACCATGCCTGATAATTAACACATAGTAAATCCTTTGTGAACAAATAAATGGAGCTATATGACAAGCTCCTATCACAGCTGCAGCAGCCCTGAGGATAGGGCTTTATTGTATGTGCCTTTCTAATCCCAACAGGCATTAACATTTTCTCCTGCAGTTTCTATCATCCTATGTTAGTCAGGGTTCTCCAAAGAAACAGAACCAATAGGAGAAACAGAAGAGAGAGGAGAGAGTGAGAGAGATTATGGGAATCGGCTCATGTGATTATGGAGGCCAAGAAGCCCCACAATCTGCTGACTGCAAGCTGGAGAACAAGGAAAGCCAGTAGTGCAATTCAGTCCAAATTTGAAAGTCATTTCAGTACCTGGGGAAGGGTGGTGTCTGTACCATCTGAACCAAATGAACCTCAGAAGATACAGACACATTCATGGGTCAGACAAGGAGAAGTGAGTGAACTGGTTGTCCAGAAACACTAATCTATGTGTGCCCTTCCCTCAAGAACCTGGAGCTCTGATGTCCGAGGGTAGGAGGAGATGGACAACCTGCCTCAAAGAGAGAGAATTTGCCCTTCCTCCAATGTATTGGATGATGTGGACCCACATTGGTGAAGAAAGATCTTCATTTAGTCTACCAATTCAAATGCTAATCTCTTCCAGAAACACTCTTACAGACATACCCAGAAATAATATTTTACCAGCTATCTGGGCATCACTTAGCCCAGCCAAATTGACACATAAAATTAACCATCACAAATCTTTATAAAAAGAAAGTTTGTTCAATGATGAAATAGTGCAAATAGAACAACAAAATGGAGTAGCTAACAAACAACAGAGCCAAAAAGAATTATTACATTTTGCTACATCTTGGGAGAACAAAAGAAGCTCACCTTGACCTTACACAACCTCAAAGAAACAATAGGGAGCCTTGACGGAGACAGAAAATGAA